TTGAACTGCCAATCCTGTGGTTAGAAGTCCAATGTTTATCCTACAGTGCCAAACCAGGACACCAAATAATAATTAAATAGTGGGACATTTTTACCCCATGGGGTGGGGGTGGGAGTGGGAAGGGAACTACCAAATAGTGTGTAATTAAATTCTGCAAGATTTGTGTATGTGTCAATTGGCCTAACAATTCACAAAGACACTGTACATCTTACTTTAATGAGTAGTGTCTGGGATATCAAAAGCTCCTAAATAGGCATCTAAGGTGCAACTATTGGACTCTTCATGTGCGGAATAAGTAAGAGTGAAGATAAGTGAAACACTTGGAATAAATCAGTCCAATGAACTAATGGGACACATAGTTTCCATGACCCTGAGATCAGAACTAGATAGTCTATGGCTACCATTACCAACTGCTCTGAACAGATTCATATTAGAAAATCCTGGATACAGTGGGCGACAATGTGGAAAAAAACTCGAAATTTAAAAAGATCAGGCTTATTGGTGAGAAAGAGACAGCAGGAACCTGATACTACAGCCATCTATAGCACCATTCAGGTCTGGAATGGAACATACCCTTGTGGCCCAATTTTCAGTCAAACAGTTGATAGGTATACAGAAGGGACAACAATACTAGTAAGGTGTGCTAAATTATTCAACATCAGAGGGCAATATTTACCTAAGGATGAAGTTCAGAGGGTGGGGAAGGAAGGTGGAATGGAAATGGGTAATCTTCACTGCAAGGAGGGAATTGCAATCATTAAGATGTAACAAAGTGTGTGATTTGTTGAAAGTAAAACTCATGCTCGGCTTTGTAAACCTTTACTTAATTCACAATAACAAGTTGCAAAAAAAATTAAAAATCAACGTATACAATGTTTTGTATGTATGTGTACATGGGGTGTAGGAGTCCTGGTGTGGTGCTGTGAGCTAAAGTGTCAGATTGCAAAGTCATTTGAACTGCAAGGTTGGTGGTTCAAGCTCACCAGCTGCTCCTTGAAAACCCTATACAGGGTCGCTATGGGTCGGAATCGACTTGACGGCACTTAACAACAACACAGGGGGTGTACAAACAAGCCCACACATTTCAGTATTTAGGTAAATAATTTCAGATTATGCTGGGCTTTAAAATGAACTATAATTTTAGTCCTGTACTAGCCAAACAGATTGGTTTTGAAAATTTGAAAAAGTAATTATTTCAATAATAAAATCAAAGGCCCAAACACATAAGAAACTAAAAATAATATCTTTACTTAATCAAATAGACCAAAGACACTTAAAATGTACAAAGGCGATCATCACTCATTCTATCGTACTTTCTGATCTGCCCATTTAACGTTCACATAAACATTCATCTTTTTTCGAAGGAAAATGATACTATTTTCTCTTCTCACTTCTTAAGTGCTTATCAAAATTGCTTCTAGTTTAAGAAAAATATTTAGAACATGATTAAAATATACTTTACCTTCTTCTGGCAAATTGACCTTCTGGCGGACGACACCAGTGGTTTCTAAAAGGGAAAAACATAAATGTTTACGACATCAAAAGCTGAAGGTTAGAAACAGATGATCTAATTTGGGAAACTGAACATAAAGACACAGTAAATAAACTTTTTATATGTTAAATCACAAATCTGACTTTAATGATTAAATCACAAAAAATCTATCATTTCCTAAGCTATTTCAGAAATAATACGAATTAGAATCAGAAATAAAATTATCTATTTTTCTTCAGCTACAGTCTATTTGTATTCTAAAATGTAACCTGTATTATAGAAAAAAAAATGAAATACCTTGGTAGCGTAGAGGGTTACGAGTTAGGCTGTTAACCACAAGACTAGCAGTTCAAATCTACCAGCAGCAGCTCCTTGGGAGAAAGATGAGGCTTTCTGCTCCCGCAAAAATGTACAGCCTTGGAAACCCTCTACAGAGTCACTGAATCAGAACTGACTTGACAACATACAACCACCACCTCCATACTCTAGTTCCAGTAGGTCCCCACACATCACTCATTGTTTCTTATACCAACACAGAATCTGAACAAAGATATATGAATACAACATATCAAACATAAACTTCTTTTTCCATGTTTTTCCTCTTTTTTTACTGCGATGAGTTATGTTATAAATTATTTTGATTCTATAGTATCAAGAGATAGTAGAGAATATTACTAAAACCTCTTGTATTAGGAAAAGATTGCGCTCTCAACCTTTTCTTCATCATTTATTTATTCAAAATGTTATTGAAACAAAAAAATACAACTTCTGTATTTACAACATAAAGACATAATATTTTTCACGTTGTGCCACCATCATGGATATCTTCACCCAAAGCAATCCACCACCATACTGTGGAGGTTTGAGTATTGCTGTGATGCTGGAAGCTATGCCAAAGGTGCTTTAAATACCAGCTGGGATACCCATGGTGGACAGGTTCACCTTCCAGACTAAGACAGACTAGAAAGAAGGAATAAATGATCCACTTCTGAGGGATTAGTCACTAAAACCCTTATGAATAACAGTGGGAAACTGTCACTGACACATAGAAGGTGATTAAAAATAAATATTTGTTCAATAAATGAGATTTTATGGTCATAGAATATATACTTATAAATTAAGAATTTTGCTAATATTTCTTATACAATGAAAAATAGCATTACTTAGTAATTAAAGAAAAACACTCTGAAATTATGCCTCATCTTTATGACCTCAGAAACCCTACACAGGGTCGCTACGAGTTGGAATCAACTCAATGGCACAAAATCACTGCCACCAATAAGATTCTAAAAATTACTAATTTCGAGAATGTCTCAAGAATTAGATTCCATTGCCTTCATGGTTTTAAACCCAAAGAATCTACAAATAAATAAGTACAATCTGATGATGAGTCAGCAGCACCTATGACTACACAAGTTTTCATTTCATTTCTCTCTTTATTATTCAACTTCCTTTACTGTATACTTCTTGATTACCACATATAGAAGGTTAAGCATGTTTTAAAAATGTACTTTAAAAAGAATCACTCTTATTACCATGCAAAGGCTCTGAGAAGTTAAAATACTGTTGGGGCAAAAATGTCCTAACAGGAGGAAAAAAAAAATATTTTAAGAAAGTATAAAAGTTGTGGCTTTAACAAATACATAGAAAAATGGTAATCATTAAATTGTGTTCCTTCTAGGACTATAGATCACTTATACCTGTCTGGAGCCAAACCATTAATTTATCACTATTTTCTGTTGCTTAGCCAGTTTCAAAGAAAAAGACAAAGTTATGTTAGATGCATAAACTTCCCAGATTTGTTGAAAATCCAGGTGCCAAGGCATGTACATGTCTATCATATACTTTTCCTATTCCTACAAACTTTCAAGATTGTTCTAGTTGTGAGGAGTGAAGCATACTCAAGAATACACACATTGTTTTGAGTTTTGTCTGGGAACAAAAATATGAAGACATAAATGGAACCATCATGCTTTTTCAAAGAAAAGCCTGGAAAAAAATACAAGAGTCATTACGAATGGGGTTTCATTTAGCTCCTCAAGTATGTAACTTTCTGAATTTACTCACATGACAAGTGAATTTTTTATACTGTTGAGAGGATCTGTCATCTTTCCTACCATTAGTATATATCAGGGATTGGCCAAGTTTTCCAATAAAGGGTCAAATATTAAGTATTTTTAGGCTTTGTGAGTCACATAAGTTCTCTGTCACTTTTTACAACCCTTAAAAAATGTGAAAATCAATTCTTAGCTCACAAACTGCACAAAAACAGGTTTTGAGGCCAGATCATATTAAGAAATTGTAGCTGGCTGGCCTCTGGTACCTTTAAAAATGTTTCCTTTATGACTGTTCAATGCCAATCAAGCCTTTGAGAAGAGTAGGGATGGGGTAGCTGGTAGGAAAGAGTTAAAAATATTTTAGGGCCATCACCACCACTATTCAAGTTCCATGCACGGCCATTTTATATATTCAAAATGTACTAACATTACTGTAAAGGGAACCAGAGAATGCCATTTCCCGAATTTATCCAATGGAAAATTTTAAATGGAAGCACTTTAAGAAAGTCTTTTTAAAAAATAAGCTTTTTATTGTGAAATGAATGAAGGTTTACAGAGCAGATCATGAGTTTTACATTCAACAAATCATGCACTTTGTTTCATCTCAATGATTGCAATCCCCTCCATTTAACATCACTTAGCTTACTTCCTATGGTTCCTATTCCTCCTTTCCCAACCCTTCTGAAGTTTGTCCTGAGGTAAATGCTGCCCCTTTGATCTCGAATAGTTCACCATTCTATGGTGTACACACCTCACCTAGTGTTGTTTCCCCCACTATCTACTACTTGGCTAGATACCTCTTTACAGCTTAGCTGAAAATTGAGCCACGGGGGTGAATTCAGTTCCAGACCTGAAGGATGATCAAGGGTCATAGTCTTGGAGTTTCTCCAGTCTCTTCTTGACCAGTAAGCTTGGTATTTATGATATTAAGTTTTGTTCCACATTAGAAAACAGTTTTTTATATAAAGTACAAATTAAAATGATTTCTAATTAAGAGGAGAATTTGATTATTTCAGCTCTAGGCTATCTTTCAACTAATAGCTTATGTCTTAAAAAAATAAATTTTTTAAAAAAGTTTTTAAATGCAGCACTTGTGAAGCTCTGGCAGATAAAAGAACACACTAAGTTGCATACTGCAAAATTCATTTTCAGCACTCAGACATTTTACATCCTGAAGCCTTTAAAGAAATTGGCCTGAGCTTAAGTGAGAGAAGTTCATAGAGGAAGCTGCAACTCTTCAGAAAGGAAATGGATGCTTTCCTCTTTTTGACTGATTTCCAAATTTAGAAAAGAACTGAAACTTTAAAATGAAGTGCAACCACAATCAACGTAGATTCACTCAAAGCCACAGATCTTGGTAGCTCATATCCTACATCAAGGCAGACTCTGAAAAGAATTGAATCCAGCTCAATAGACATGGCAAAGGACACTGAACTTAATATGGAAAACAGCTCAAACTCATTTTAAATAAATAGAGAAAAAAAAATCTTTAACTATAATGGTGTGAATTTAACAAAAGACCAATAGAAACCAAAATGCATTCATGTCCTTATATGAATTCTACAGAAGCAAGGATGCTGCTAACCAAAAGATTGATAGTTTAAATGCAGCATCCACTCCGAGGGAGAAAGATGTGGCAGTCTGCTTCTGTAAAGATTACAGTCTTGAAAACCCTACAGGCAGTTCTACCCTGTCTTACAGAACAGCTGAATCAGATTAACTCAATGACAATGGTGTGTTTTTTAATAAATTTAAACAATAATAAAACGTCCGACATGATAAAAACAATGGTTCTAAAGAAAGAGCATAACCATAGGAATAGAGTCTCACATGCTAAGATAATGAACAAAGTAATATTTTCAAGTCAATTACTCAAACGTGTATTCTTGTATTCTACTGATAATCAGAGCCTCCAAAAATTTTAGAAAAACAAACCTAATTCACTCATTTTAGAGTTTCCATTTGTTCTATATGATGAATCTGTAAGAGAGACAGCAAGGAAATGATTAGAGCTAAAAAGGAAATGTATCATATGGTTCCTTACCATAGGTTGTTCAACAAAAGCTCAACAGATCTTTATCATTATTAGACTTAAACAACATAGTCAATGATCTGTTTTTAAAAATCAACATAATTCTTAAAGGGCCTGACTGGGGAGTAGCCAAAACTCAACTGTAAAATCAATCAATCAACTAATGGGTACTATTTCTAAGGTTTTAATAACAATAATACTAATAAATATGTAATTGAGGCAGGGAAATTTTGTAGCCATAAGCCACAAATCCTCATTCTTGAATTTTTCATTAGCATTATACTGAAAAGAATAAAAAGTCCCTGACCTTAGTTTTAAATTGTCACATTAACAAAAGAACTACAGCAGCGCCTCAGAAACAACCTCTTAAAAATAATGAGGAAGTCCTATTTGATAGGGAAAGTTCTCTTAATATGGATCTCAAAAGACTTCAGTGTAAAGTATAAAAAAACAAAACAAAATACAACACACAAAAAGACAGAAGGTGAAGAGGAGTACTTATAAGACATATGTTTTGTGTTAAAAAAGAGGAAAAGATTTATACATGAATTTCCTTACGTTGCCATAAAACATTTCTGGAAAAATCCTAAGAACTGGACATTAGTTGCCTGTGAGAAGACTGGGTGGCTATGGAACAGGGGTGGCAGACTTTTTATTGTCTATCTATAGCAACTTCTGAATTCTGAACCATATGAATCCAAGTAATATTTAAAAAGAAAATTATATTAAAAAAAAAAAAAAAGTTAAATCAACAGACAAAACAATCTCTTACCAGATCTTGAGTTCCTTAGAGGGGGTCTACATAGGCCAATTACAGGGTCTTCATTCACCACTAATTTAGAAGGAGAAGACATTTAAAATATAAAATGGTAAATGTACCAAGTTTATTTTACAATCATTCTTTTATCCAACAAAGGTTTACTGAGATTTTCATTATGCTGCTGCTGCTGCTAAGAAGTAGCACTATGAGTATGCTGTTAAGAAGTAGCACTATGAGTCAAAATCAACTGGTGAGTTGATTTTGACTCATAGTGACCCTGTATAGGGTTTCCAAGGAGCTGGTGGGTTTGAACCGTCAACTTCGTGTTTAGCAATCCAGTGCTTATCCAACAGCACCACACCAGAACTCCTTACATTATGCTGGGTGTGGGAACACAATAGTGAATTCATATAAAAGGCAAGAAATACCAATCAAACTCTTAATTTCTCAAATAAGAATAAAAATCTGTAACATAGCACCAACTCAATTATCTATTTCATTTATGGCTTAACATTATAGATTATTATTGCTATATATTTTAATTTCAGGGCTATCTTCTAGAGAGTTAATATACTTTCCACCTTCCTACAACTTTTTAACCTGACGTGTATCCAAGAAGTGAAAACTCTAATTTTACATAAAACATCAATGTAAGCCAAGAAAACTACAAGGGTATGTTTGTTCAAAGAGTCTCACACAATACATTCCAAAAGTTTATATCTAAATTTGGATTATCTTATGCTTTGTTTCATATATCACTGTAAAAACAAAACATTATGGTTGGGTTCTGTATGAAAACTGCAAAAACCAATATTCTGGGATGAAGTGAACTATGAAATATGCCCACTCCCATGTTTTGTTGATTCTAACAGACAATTTCTTTTTACTTTAACATCATAGCAACTCTATGGGACAGACAACTGCCCCATACAGTTTCTAAGTCTGTAATTCTTTGATGGAAACAGACTGTGATCTTTCTCCTGAAGAGCAGCTGGTGAATTCAAACTGCCAACGTTACAGTTCGCATCCAAGCACTTAACCAGTGGGCCACCAGGGCTCCGTATGCATCTTATATTCCACGGCATGTTGTTGTTAAGTGCCGTCAAGTCAATTCCGAGCCACAGCAACCCTGTATAGGATTTCTGAGGAGAGGCTGGTGAGCCTGAACCGTTGACCTTGTGCTTCAAACCAACTTTGCGGTCCAGTGCATTAACCCACAGCGCCATAACAGCATTATTTCATTCAAGGTGTTAAATAAAATGAAGGTAACGTATCTTACAACTTGTTAAGTGTGGTTGAGTTCGATCTGACTCATGGCAACCCTGTATAGGGTTTCCAGGAGCAGCTCGATGGGTTTGAACTACCAACCTCATGGTTAGCAATCCAGTGCTTTACAGAGCCACATCAGGAATCCAATGGCATCTTAGATTAGATGAAATATATTTAAAAACGGACACACCGGATTATAGTGTATCATGATTTTACCATGTAGAATACTTACATCCATTTTAAATGGAAAGCACTGTGGCATATTCACTCATTCAACACTTAGCCAACATTGCTGAGTAGTTCATTGTTACCTAGAAAGGTAAGAGTGAGGTACTTGAGGACATGAAGGAGGAGCTTTGGAGAAGAAAACCTAGGTCTGAATTTTGTTTGGTTCATCCACATATCATATGATTTTAGGTAAAAGTCTTAATTATTCTGAGCTTGTTTTCTTATCTACAAAATGGGAGTAACATAATTGTGGCTCACTTAAGGAAGAAAACAAAGTGGCTGGTACTTAGTAGGTGTTCCGGAGTCAGTCACCATTTTTTCTTGATACATGTCTGTATTATCAAATTCATACTGGTGATTCTGTATGATAAATGATGTACTGTGAACCACAAGGTCCATGGTTCGAGGCCAACAGCTGCTTCACGGGGGAAAGATGACGTTTTCTGCTCATGCAGTGATGTACAGAACTTGGAAATCCTATACAGGATCATTCTGAGTCAGAACTAACTCAATAGCATTTAACAGCAACATTGAACTCTGAATAAGTATGTTTTGGGACACTTGGTGGCTCTGTACATTAAAAAAAATAAAGACAGTTAAGGAGAAAAAAAAAAAAAAAAAATGAACTACTGTTACCTGGAACTTCTGGAGTTCTGACAGTTGTTCTCTTTGAGCCTGGTTGGCTTAAGACAGTTGGGGAAGATGACTCATCCTCTAAAGAATAAACACAGTTAAGAGTTAAAATTCAGAATACATGACCTAGGAAATCATGGTACAGATTATGCATATTAATAGCATGGCCTGACTTTGTCTCTCATCTTTAGAAATATTATCAGTAGGGACTAGTCCCTGGAGAAGGGCATCATGCTTGGTAAAGTGGAGGGTCAGCAAAAAAGAGGAAGACACCCAAGGAGATGGATTGGCACAGTGGCAGCAGCAATGTGAGGATGGTGCAGGACCAGGCAGTGTTTTGTTCTGCTGTGCATAAGGTCACTATGAGTCAAAACCAATGCAGAAGCACCCAACAACATCATGTTCGCTGCAGCATTATTCACAATAGCAAAAAGATGGAAACAACCTAATGATGAACAGATGTTGTTGTTGTTAAGTGTTGTCAATAAACTACGGTATATACACACAATGGAATACTATGCAGCCATAAGAATAATGATGAGTTATCAAATATGCTGTAACATGGAGGACTCTGGAGGTCATTATGCTGAGTGAAATAAGTCAATCACAAATGCCTAAATACAGGCATACCGCATTTTACTGGGCTTTGCTTTATTGAGCTTTGCAGATATCGCATATTTTTTTTTACAAACTGAAGGTTTATGGCAACTCTGTGTCAAGTAAGTTTATAGGTGCCATTTTTTCCAAAAGCATGCGCTTACTCTGTGTCATTGTGTCACATTTTGGTAATTCTTATAATACTTAAAAGTTTTTCATAATGCTATTGTACACTTAATATATTAACTATAGAATGTAAACATAATGTTGATATATAACGGGGAATAACAAAACTCAGAAATATTTATTGTGATTTATTGTAATATTCACTTTATAGTGGTGATCTGAAATTGAACCTGGAATATCTCTTAGGTATGCCTGTGCTATATGATCTCACTGATAAAAAGACAAGAATAGGTAGACATCCAGAAAGCAACATTTTTGGGGGTTACCTGGGATTGGAGGGAAAGGAGAGGGAATCACATTCTAGAGAGTCGACATTTGTTCGTTTTGGTGATGGGTAAGGCAATACCGAATAAGGGTAAACTGCTGGTGTGCTACTGTGGAGTCAGCACTAGACTGCTAATGGCAAGGTCAGCAGTTCAAACCCACCAGCTGCTCCTCAGAAATTCTCTATACAGGTGTGGTACTGTGGAGTCAGTACTAGACTGCTAATGGCAAGGTCAGCAATTCAAACCCACCAGCTGCTCCTCAGAAACTCTCTATACAGGGTGTCTATGAGTCAGAACCAATACGACGGCACAAAGCAATAGTAAGCATACCCTGACCAAGATAAAAAGACAATGCTATAAAGTACAAAACAATAAGGGATGATTTTGGTAAAAGCCACACATATATTATTTTTACAACAACAGTTGTTGTTGTTATGTGCCATGGAGTCGGTTCCGACTCACAGCGACCCTGTACACGGTTTCTGAGGCTGCAGGGTTACGGGAGCAGAAAGCCTTATCTTTCTCCCGCAGAATAGCCGATAGTTTCAAACTGCTGACTGTGAGATTAGCAGCCTGATTCATAACCACTACACTACCAGAGATCCAACAGTAATAAAAGTAAAAAACAGCTATGTGGTTACATAGGTACGCTTATACAAGGGGGCTTCAAAATTCATAGAAAAATTGTATTATCTTTCCATTCTATTTCTCCATAAACTTTATGAAGCCCTCTTACAGACAACAATATGTGTTGTTGTTGTTAAGCACCATTGAGTCAGTTCTAATTCACAGTGACCCAATATAGCGCTTTCAAGGAGTACCTGGTGGGTTTGAAATGCCAATCTTATAGTTTGCAGTCCAGTGCTGATCCTACAGTGCCATACCCAAAGTCAAATTGATGGTACTTAACAACAACAATAGGTACATATATAGAGAGAGAGTGAGAGAGAAAGGGGGGGAGGGCAAGCACACATGAATGCATGAGTTTGCATATATAGGTGTTTCTGTAGTATAAACAGTATTTGTGTGACTGTTTATAGGGGGCATAGTTATAGATACTTCCTAGATAGAACCATGGGGAGCGCGATGGCTCAGAAGAATAAGCACTCAACTGCTAACCACAACATTGATGGTTTGAGCCACCAGCCACTTTGTGGGAGAAAGATGAAGCTTTTTGCTCCAGCAAAGATTTACAGCCTCGGAAACCTTAAACAGGGTTGCTATGAGTCAGAACTGATTGACGCACTTAACAACAAGGTGGGGTTACTGAATTCTAGGGCTTAGAACCATAGTTTCCAGGGGCAACTTAATCAACTGGCATAACATACCAGGAGGCTTCAAAAAAAATTCATAGAAAAATGAAATCAATAATGTAATTTTCCCAAGAACTTTCTGAATCTCCTTCATAGCTCCTAAAGATAATGTTCTAATATGCTATCTTGGTAATTAAAAGTTTGTGAATGACCATCTAAGATACAATTACTGGTTTCTATGCATCTAGAGCCTAAGATAAAGGAAAACAAAGACTCAAAGAAGAAGCTAGTCTATAGGGATAATAGTCTACATGAACCGTGACTTCATCTACCCTGAGACCAGAACTAGAAGGTACTCAGATATCACTACCTATTCTGACCAGAGACACAATAGATGGTTATGGATAGAATAGGGGAAAAAATGTAGAACCAAACTCAAATTTCTGAAAAAGGAGAGATTAACTGGACCAGAAGAGATTAAAAGAATCCATAAAACTATCTACTGCCCTGGGATATTCTTTAAACTTGGTACTCAAAACCATTCCTGGAGGTCAACCATAAGTCAAAAGGCAAAGTGGTTCATAAAACAAACAATCTCACCCATGAGTACTAAGCTTCTCCAAACAATTATCTAAATGAGACTTATGGTCAACACTTTACCCTAGACCAAAGATGAGAAAGTGTGTGTGTGTGTGTGTGTGTGTGTGTGTGTGTAGGGGTGGGGGGGGAAGACGACACATGAAATCTAGGTTAATAGAAACCGAACAAGTAGAATGGAACTAATAATGCTGACACACTGTGAAAAGTATAACCAATGTCACTGAATAATAAGTGTGCTGTTGTTGTTAAGTAGCTTCCGACTCACAGCAACCCTGTATAGGATTTCCAAGGAGCAGCTGGTGGGTTTGAACTGCTGACACTTGTGGTTTGCAGTCTAGTGCTGATCCTACAGTGCCACACCAGGAGTCCGAATACGTACAGAAATTGTTAAATGAGAACCTAATTTACTATATAACTTTCTCCAAGATCACAATATTTTTAAAAAATGAATTCATCAGCATATCAAAATAAGCAATTCATCACTTTATAAGAATATATTCAGAAAATTTTTTAAAAAGAATAGGCTACAAAATACAACAGAATCATCAAAAATGATGTGGAAGAAAGCAGAAGAGTGAGAAATATTTAATTCTTTATCACTGTTATTAAGTGCCAATCGAGTCAGTTCCAATTAATAGCAACATTGTATAGGGTTTCCAAGAAGTGGCTGGTGGGTTTGAATTATAGACCTTGCGTTTATTAATCCAGTGCTTATCCTACAGTGCCACACCAGGGCTTCATAGGTTTGTTTTTTTTTTTTTTAATAGAGGCAAATTCCTTATTAGTTGGTGGGGGTAGGAGTGATTATGTGAGAGTCAATACAATGTAACATACATTTATTACCTACCATGTACAACCAATAGCCTAAATATTTGTTGCAGACTGTGCAGACCCGGTCAAGAGTTTGAGGCCCTGTGGGCCCGACTGTTGCAGGCACTGAGGAACAGACTCTAGCCACCTAGCCGACATAGCAAACTGTTTTTCATCTTAGTATTGTTATGTTTGTTATTAATTTCATACATGAGCCCTTGATATCCACAGATAAATGTAAAAATCTCCTAAAGAAGAGACTGTAAAATTCTAAAGGCAAAGTTTTCCTCAAAGAATTCACTCACGGTAAATGGGCGTCTTCCCGGGTCTTTGTTCTAAAGACAAAAGGACACCCTCCCTAAAGCGTTTTCAGGTGCAGCCCCATTGACTCGCTCTACTCAATGGGTCTCCTTTAGCTAGGTGCTAAAAGGTATGTTAATCAGGCTCGAGAAACCAAGGTGCAGTCGTGAGATTCGAACCTGCGAAGTACGATATAAAGTTGCCTGAAGTACGATATAAAGTTACCTGAATGTCTGGAAAATTATGTATGTTAGCTGTACCTTGTCGTCGTCCCGCCCAGCTTTGTGTAAAGTTCCTCCCCTAAATAAAACGTAGGCGGAGACCGAATCCAGTGTGCATTACAGCTTGGAGGGCATGCAGTACAGTTTGCAGGGCAGTGCGTTGCTGCCTGCAGAGGCCACGATGCCTGTGGTCCAAAATCTGTCCACCAGTGATGCATCCGCTCTGGTTTCCGGGTGTCTCTTTGTCTCTCTCATTGTCTTGGTGTGTCTTTCTATATTTCTACCTCTGACAGATAGCCCTACCTCGTGAACCAAACATCTGTGTCAGGTCCTCGGCAAATACTGAAGGAAATAAATAGCGCAAAAATTGACTGAAGCATAACAGTCTTTCAAATACATGTTAGGATCCTTGACTTCAAGTTTGTAACAGTAAAAAGAGACAAAAGAAACATAGAGGTTCAACTAACTCATATACAAGGAGCTCTGATAGCCTAGTGGTTACGAATGGGGCTGCGACCCTCAAGGTCAGCAGTTCGAAACTACCAGCTGTTCCTCGGGAGAAAGATGAGGCTTTTTGCTCCCATAACATTTACAGACTCGGAAACCCTGTTACAGGGTCGCTATGAGTCGAAACCGACTCCACGGCACATAACAACTTACATATCTTTAACATGAAATTTCCAAAATTAGCAAGTCTTCATGTGGCAGCACTTCATGTGGTAAGCAGGTAAACTGTACTGTACTCTAAACTAAAATCCACTGCCTCTTCATATTCATCAATGATCTACCACTATGTCACCTCATTGTGACTCAATCCCCCATCCACTGATTATTGCTTCATGGGGATTTACAAGGGGTTAACAAGAAAATAACCGGTGATTCGGGCGTTAAACTCCGCAAGGCAGGGTGGGAGAGTAAGAATCAAGAAAGTTGATTCACCTGTGACTTACTCACAAGGCCAGAACCCTTTTTGGCTCCTTTAGAAGACAACTTCCCATTGAGGCTAGACGAAGGGCCTCTTCACAAGGTCAATTTTGGCAGAGACCAGAATACTTGAGTTCAAGTTTACCAAGCACTGGGGATATTCAATTTAGGATAACTGACTTACCCCATTTAGGTGTAAGGTTTAGAGTATCAATTCCGTTAGCCCTGGCAACACCCATGCTCTCAAAATTTCCCTCCCTCTTTCTGGACGGTTACTTTAGAGTCATAATTCTGGATGGGGACGTCTGGCCTTTGACAATTAAGGAAATGGAAGCGGTTTCGGTGGAAACATACGGGGGGCAGAGGAGACCGAAATGAAACCAAGACTAGTATGATTCGGGGTCCCTGCGGCCGCCGAATTCGCGATCCCCTGGTGGAGGCCTGCAATTAGGAGCGAGCCTGATCCCTTAAATTGATGCCTAGTGATGGGCAGCTTTTTCTCGGTTCTGCACGGGTGGTCCCATACGATTTCCTTTCCCGCTCTCTCGTCAACGCCCCTGTCCGCCAGCTAGCTATCCTTTCCCGCCAAGGGCATCCAAGCGGGCCCGGCGCGCGAGCAGAGGAGCGACGGGCATCCCAGCCTGGAAGAGCTCTGCGAGGTGCTCATCCGCACTGCTCGCCCGCACTGCTCCGCGCGCTCTCAGACCACACACGCGATTCCTGGCTAGGGGGTGAAACGTTACCTTCATCGTCCTCACCTTCAGAGAAAGAGTCCCGTAACCCTCTCCTAGTCATAACTGGAGACGACTGCAGCTGAGATTGTTCCGAGGACTGCTGCTGAAGACGGAGAGCGCTTCGTGTCTTCATTTCCGTAGCTTTTTGGGGTTGTGGCTGTCTCCGCTGCCGAGACCGAAGGTAGTAAATACTTTCTTTTACTTCCTCTTTTGCAGAATCAGGCCGGAACTCTTCTGGCGGGGTATGTCTTCGCACCGGAGATCTGTCTTTGGACACGCGGGGCTTGAAGTCGCCGTACACTTCTGGCGGCTCCTCTGAGAACCTCACTTCCCGTCGGCCGTGACGTGACGGAGAAGGTGTTCCGTGCGCAGGCGCGTCACTACTGTCGCCATTTTGAGGCGGGAGCTGGCGCCTCCCCTCCCTAATAGGGGATCTGGGCGTGACGTACACCGCCCATCCTTCCCCCACCGGCTCTACCCGCCGCCCCTCGCCCGCCATACTTGGTGGCGTATCTGGAGTAGCTTGCGAGGGTGGCTTTGAGGCACCTAGGTCTTCCTGCCGGTGGTGGCGGTGGCTTCTCTGGGGTGTTGAGCAGTGGTTGCGGAAGTCAGGGAGGCAGCTGAGAGTCGCCGGAGCCGCCACCTGCGTCGTCGCTGCTGGGCTGCAAACCTGCCTCTGGGCCCATGGTGGCTCCTGTGGGCAGTGGGAGAGGCAGTGCCTGCTCTAGGTCAGCTGCTTTGTGTCACTCCCGCCTCCTGGCTGGAGGCACCAAAGAGGAGGAGAAGGAGGAGGAGGACGTCGTTGTCCTTGGCCTTGAGAGAGAGAGGGCAAGGGGCAACAGAAACGGGACAGTGGCTAAGCAAAAGCGTTCCCGGCAAGTGTCGCCTGCGCGCTGGAGACACCTGCCAGAGTCCGAAGTTCGAATCTCGGGAAAAATCCGAGCGGGACGAGGGTGGAGAGGACTAGGTTTCAATTCTTGCGTTCAGGCTGTTGCGCAGCTTTCCTGGGACCTTTTTGATCGACTGCCACCTTGGCCATGCCCTTCCAAGTGTCCCTTGCGAGATTGACGTTTGGAAAGATAACTTGCATGTGTCTTCTTTTCGTGGCAAAATTGTTAATTTCAAAAGCCTTTTCTTTTTCCCAGTTTTAAATCACCTGTTAAGCGTTGAGAAAGGTCAGCAATTGTCTGCAGCTCCGGGAGAGAAAGATGAGGCGGTTTGTTTTCCTAAAGATTTACAACCTCAGTAGCCCTATGGAACAATTCTGTGCTGTCCTATAGGGTCACCATGATTCGGAACCCTGTGTACATTGTCCTGTCGATTGTCGAATTCTTTAGGTGGATCCCCATTTGTAACATGTTTGCACATTTACAAGCCCCTGACAGCAACGGTGGCGCTGTGGGGTAATGCACTGAACCGAAGGGCGGTTTGAACCACAAGGTTGGCGGTTCAAATTCACTAGCAGCTCTGGTACTCGGCTATGAGTCGGAACCGACTCGATGGCACTTAACAACAGCAACAGGTTCGCAAGACAGTAGTGCTGAGTTATGCATAGCTAGGAATTCATTTTTTTTTTTAATTAAAGGCAATGCTGTCTTTTTAAGTTGTGACCCATCATTTTTATTTTTATTCTAGACATGACTTGGTACTCATACTGCATTTGGTTGAGAGGTCCTGAGTAAAAAAAGCGTTGATAATTTTTCCGCCGTGAATTTGGGCAATCAGCCAAGTATCTAATCAAATTTAGAACCATTGAGATAAAGTCGATTAAAGTCTGAATAATTACTGAAAGAAAGCTTTTTTACTGTCAAATATACCCACTTGTCTCCTTGGAGAACTTTATGATTGGTTTTAGTAAGTAGTCTTAAACATTTTTGAAATTTGTAAACCAATTACAAGGAATAAATCTAAGAAATTTAAAAATACTGATTTCTTTGGAGTCCTGGTGTGGCGCTTGGGCTAGTGTGCTGAACTGCAAAGTCGGTTTGAATCACAAGGTCGGCTGTTCAAACTCACCAGCCGCTCCTCGTAAACCCTCGGAACCGACTCGAGGACACTGGACAATAACAACAATAGGTGTACTGGAGACCTGGTATGGCACTGCAGGAGAAGCACTGGACTGCAAACCAAATGGTTGACGGCTCAAAACCGACCAGCTGCTCCTCAGAAGCTATACAGGGTGGCTGTGAGTAGGTACCGACTTGACACATAACAAATAGGTGTACTACATTTTCACTAATAGTCTAAATTTAGCTATGTTGTTAAGTGCCATCCAGTCAGTTCCGACCCATAGCGACCCTGTATAGGGTTTCCGAGGAGCAGCTGGTGAGCTTGAACTGCCGACCTTGCAGTTAAAACTGCATTAACCCACAGCGCCACACCAGGAAGGAATTACACGTTTTGGAGTGTCACCTAGCCCATTAAGAGTTTAGCTTAGTTTTACTACTAAGTGGCGGCTAGTCAGCATCCGACTCATAACGACCCTGTACAGACAGGGTTTTCGAGGAGCAGCCGGTGAGCTTGAACCCCTGGCCTTTCCGTCCAAGCCTTTGCATTCCAGCTCATTAACCGACAGCTTAGTGTAGCTTTGTTTATTATATATCAGTAACTTCAGAATGGAGTGGGCTGTGGGTTGTTGCACTGGACTACCAGGTCGGTTTGTACAGCAACAGGTCACTATGAGTCGGAACAGACTTGATGGCACTTAACAACAAAAAGCCAAAGAAGCTAGAGGCAAAGTAATAAGGAAGAGGGAGTTTTCCTCCTTTTTTCAATCTTTAGAGGGAAAATGAAATGCATATTCTTCCTTGTTAGCCTGGGTTAGGTGGTATATTTGGAAATTTTTTAAGTCAAAGTGCTGGAAAGTTTTGATAATACCTGGCTTTTATTTATTGATGGGGTTTCCAAATTTAAAAATAAAAGTTTTAATTGTAGTCTTGGTGAAAGTTTGCACAGCAAATTGCACTATAGGATAAGCACTTAACTAACTGTAAGGCTGGTGACTCAAAACCACCAGCTTGAAAACCCTCTTCAGGGTCTCTGTGAGTGAGAAAGGAGTTGACAGCACATAACAACAACATACACACTGTTCAAGGAATCTTGGTGGCGCTGTAGGATAAGCACTGGAGTGCTAACCAAAAGTTTGTCTTTTTAAACACTCTGCCCCTCCTCCTGAGAAAGATAAGGTTTTTACTGAAAAGATTCACATTTCATTTATAGCCTCAGAAATCCTCTAGAGAATGGCTATGAGTTGGAGTCTTCTTGATGGAGTCCTCTTGATGGTTTCTAAATTGCTCAGTGACATTGATTACATTTTATATGTTATGTAAAGCCTTCTATATAGCATGGTTAGTGTATTATTCATTATTAGCACATAACAGTAACTAAACCTTTGATAAGTGTAATTATTAAAGGATATAAAACTATTGTATTAAACAAAGTTCACATTATAACTTAATGTATATATTAAGAGCCTCTTTAAAAACAGGAAGTTGACTATACATGCTTAGAAACTTGGATACAAGCTTGTAAAACTTAGTTTTGGGGAGATATTAAGAGAAAGAGAATGATGAGCGGGTCTGTGTATTGAATAATCTGTACAAGTATTAATTTATAATTAAAATATTTTAAATACTTGTGAACAGCTTTCAGGATAAATTTAGTCATGAGAATCTTAAAGCAAAAGCAGGATCACATTTGCTTAGGATTTTCCCTCCTTTGTTTAGGTAATAAGATAATAAGCTCTTTGGTAACTGCCTCCCACACCTAGCAACTTGACAAATACCAAACTTTCATTGCTAACTATGAGGTAAAGCTAAAAACTGTTGTCTAACTAGATAGTCTGCTGTAGATGGTTCCCAAGCTACAGCAGTTGATTTAAAAACCACAATAGACCCATAACCAATATTATTATGAAATTGCTGTGCCAGTGTTAAAAGGAGGCCTAAGCTTTAGCCATTATACAATTACATTGGGATGAGATGTGGAGGATTCAGTGAAACAAAAGACAGGGAAAAAAAAAGGAGTGATTTTAACAAACAATACACTCATCCAGTTTGATTCATATTAATGCATACATGCATAACTGGGTATATATTAGATGACAGAGACAAAAAAATATAATTCATTTTAAATGATCCCATTAACTTGTATAACCTAGTCATTTATTGCCACTAGATTTCTAAATAAAGCAGATAACAGTAAAATTTGTGCAAACCAAACCCGTGTAAGGTGGAAACCTGCAGAGAAGGAAAACTCAAATATTTTCTACTAAAACAATAGAAAAGGGTTCAGACTGCACCTTTTCAAAGATGGCAAACTTTTAACTCTCACAGGTTTTACTATTTTAGATGAAGCGTACTGTAATAACTGATAGAATTATTTTCATATGTAAATTTTTAGTGTAGGGTAAATGGTTAACCTAGGGAGCCCTAGTGGTGCAACCGTTAAAACTCTTGGTTACTAACCTAAAGCTTGGAGGTTTCAACCCATCCAGTGACTCTGCTAGAAAAAGACCTGACAATCTGCTACCATTAAGATTAAACCTAGAAAACCTTAGGGTTCTCCTCTGTCACTTGGGGGTCACTACATGTAGAAAACAACTTGACCACATCTAACATTAAGCCGAAATTCAGTTATTTACTAATAGGGAAGTAAATCCCTTTGGGGTTATATTTTAGCAGAAAAGGGCAACATTGTTCATTTTAGTTAGGAAAGGTAATTAAAATATTAAAAGGCTCCATTTCCACCTCTCCCAACCCATAGTCTCACAAGTGGTGGAAAAACTTTTTAAAGATTGTAGGGATTAATGAAAATGACTACTGGAAATGCTATGCTGAAATTAAGACAATGTCATGAATGAGGAGAACAGAATATAAAACTCATTAAGTGCCGTCAAATCAGTTCCCACTCATGAGAAGGGTAAAAAGTCAATGAAAAAATTCCATTATTATCTTGTCATTCTAATTTTTCCACGAACTTTTTGAAATTTCCTTGTATTCTTCTCTTGATTCTTTCTTGAATAAGAAAATGCAATCAGTTAATGAATAGAATCGGAGGATGTTCCCAAATCCTGTGACTTTCTGCTAAAAGAGGATGATAGGTGAAGGGACTGAAAATCAAATACTGTAGGGATAATTTAACATATATTTAATTTATGCCTCTGCTATATATATAGTAGGAGTCCTGGTGTGTCCCTGTGGGTTAGTGCGCCAGATTGCAAAGCCGTTTGAATTGCAAGGTCGGCTGTTCAAACTCATCAGCTGCTCCCTGGAAACCTTACACTGAAGGTTCGCTATGGGTCAAAATCGACTCAACAGCACTTAACAACAACAACTATTTAGTAGGAATTCTGGTGTGGTATTGTGGGTTAATGCACCAGATGAATTAACTTTTAAAATGTAAGAAATTGTAGAAGGGAAACAATTTTTTGGAGAACATATGATTGGTTAAGTAAGTAGAAATTTAGGTTTTCAAGTTTCTGTTCTAGACCAATTCAAG